TTCCCTACATCACAGGACAAGTAAATAATAATAAAAAAGTTTGCATCTGTATACCAGCTCTGAGTGCTGATCACTTGGCTGGGACAAGAAAATGTGATTTTATCAGCACACCCAGATGTTATCAAGCTACCCAGAATCAGAGCATCAGTGCATGAATTAATAGTAAGGACAATCAATTGCCAGGTGGCCTGGGGTAGTCACTTAGCATGCTAGCTTCCTAAGAGAAAGACTGTACAGAGGTCAGAGGCTCATTGAGGAGCTTAGACTCAGAACACTGGGAGTTATGGTGCCTGCTGACCCTTCTTTATGCCAGTGAGCTGGCTTGAGATATCCCTCCCACTGGTTTCTCTCGCCTTGAGTTTTAGAATGGGAGATGTGTTGTCATTTATTTTAGTATGGCAGCAACAGAAATACGTAATTATAGTTAATAGTAATAATGGATATCAATTATGGATTATATGTACCAGACACTGGGAGAGGTGACTTCATAAATGAGCTCATTTACTTACTAATTACTTTTCCACTGGCCTAGGGATTTGCACAAGTTTCATGGAGGGTCAATCCTTTCTTCCTGATCTAATCCTGATTTGCCTAGTTTCTATAATCCTTCAGAGTTCTGGTGTCATAATTTTATCCTACAATTATGAAAAGCTTATTGAGTATATGTAGGGCAACTCCAAAATCTACCAGAGGTTTGTGTCCTTTGGCCTAGGAAGGGAAGACTGATCTTTCCAAGAAAAGGATAATTATGACTGTTTTCCACCTTCACCCTAACCCTCTTCCCACAGACATTGCAAAAAAGTTCCCAGTCCCAGATTTCCTGTCCTTATTTCCTCTATTATCCCTATCCTCTGTGAAGTTGTGCCCAGTAATTTATTTCAAATTATCCAATCTGATTGCCAAAGCCCTGATGCCATGGACAGGGAGGGGAGCAGAGGAAGGGTGGAGCCATAGTAGGAAACAAACACCTTTAGGTTCAGTTCTAGATGAGATTTCCCTGAGGCTGCTGCTGCCTGAGAGAGAGCTTCTTGAGCTGTCCCATGGATGTTGTGATGCCCCCCAAAGCCCTCTTCACTCTCACCCGGAAGGACATTTCCACGTTCTCCCCTCCCCAGATCTCCATCTGATTATCATAGGTACCGATGTGCTCAAAGTAGGACTTGGAGATGGAGAAGAGGCCACCAGCAAACGTCGGGGATCTGGAGAGACAGAGGGAGAGCATGTGCATCTTCTGGGGGTCGGGGGAGGAGCCAGGTAGAGAGAACTCTTGTAGACTCCCCTCCTAGGCCCCTCGCCTTATTTCCCTTCCTTTCCTGTTCCTGGGACATGCAGTTCCTCTTCCACTTTTACTCATTCATTGAGCATTACTATGTCATTTTCCCCTCCTAGGGATAGGTCAAGGAAAGATAAACTTATTAATTAACTATAAAAGGCACCGATTCATTTGTCAACCAGGGCCTATGTGACATGTTGGGTATATAGACTGAAAAAGACAGATCCATTCCTTGAGGACTCAGTTTAGCAGAGAAGGTGAAGCTACCATTGTTCACTTTTTTGGCAGCAAAGTGCCTAGCATAGGAGAAACTCAATTTTCAGAAGCTACATGGAATTGTTTTGAAAATAGGATTCAAACCACAAATGAATGGATAAATATTATCCTGGGCTGACCACCTTCTGTTTCAGGGTCTCTGGCCCTTTGGAGACTATAAAGCCATAGTATAAGTAGAAGCCTAGCCCTAGTATTTTATACACATGAAAAATTTTAACTTGGGGAAGAAGCTCCCAGTTGCTTTGAACAGAGGAAATGAAAAAGAGGTGCTTCCCAAAACAGGGTGGGAAATAAGGTGAGGTCAAGCTCAGTGTGGACCACAGGGAGCACTTAGGACATTATAAAAAGATTCTGATAACAGGATAGCCAGGTGGTGTTGTTAAGGAGGCTGGATCCCATATGCTGACTGCAGTTTGAATCTTGGAACCAGCAGCTTGAAGACATGCCAGGTACATGTGCATGCCCAGAATCTTGAGAGGAGAATGAAAGAGAAGAGATTGTGGTGTGGTCATCACCCCAAAGGGTACCTCATTTTCCTTCTCTCACTCCTCTCTGGCAAGTGCATGGCCCTGTAGCAAATTTAAAAAATATATATAAATAAAGATTCTGCTAAGATAGCTTTAAGATAATATAAATTGATGAAGATAAATTGACAAAAACATCTTCCCTAAAATTTAGGTACCAAATTGCTCATAAGAGGGGGGTGGACTAAGGGGTAGGGTACCCAAGCAGACAAGGGGAAGTATAAGCAAATGGAAGGAGGTTGGGGTGGGTGCTGGGGAAGACAGGGGCAGGAGTAGTCATTAGCTATTGGCTTCTGTGCCTGACTAGATTGCCTTGGGTAGGACTTTACTGCCCTCAGGTGGCTTCATGTAGTACAACCAAGCAGAAAGACATTGAATCCCCTGTGACCCCAGAACCCATCAAGGTGCCTTATACACAGTAGGGGCTTAGTATTTATTGGACTGATCTGTCAAGGTGATTACACAGGAGGCTCACCTTGGTGTTACTCTGTGACTGCTACTGTCAGCCTGAAGTTGGCTCCTGCGGCCACTTTTGAGAAGGAATTTTAGTTGGGAAATACTGTATTTAGGTTGGCTTCCTGTCATGGGTTTTGGCCTCTCCCAGGGGTCCTCAGTCAGACCACTAGTGCCCAGAGAGACTTAGAGAGTCCTAGAACTCCAGATGAGTGCTTTGAAGGTAACCCGATTTGTCTTGAGAGTTCCTCCACATGAGCTTGTCTCTTATCTTTGAGAGGTCTTCCTGACCAAGATGTCATGGACAGATTGGCTATGCCAACTGACCCTCCACAGGGAACTTTACTGTCGATCTACAACCAGCAAGTAACCTCTGGTAAATACCTTGTAAGTCCTGGCTACTTTCTGAGATCCCCTGGGTCCTCTGCCTCTCCTCATAGTCCCCTGCTAACTTCAGAAACAAAAGGCAGAGGTTCTGCTAGCAGCTCCCCTGGTGGGGTACTATGCAAAATGCCTGAAATGCCTCGGGCAAGCCATGCATGCTACCGGGGCATTTGGGGCACGGAGTAAATTCATTTCTTAAACACTGAAGATTTTCCTTCCAATTGTATGGTCCTTGGACATTGGAGCCGGGGACATCTGTGATGGACAGAGCACCTGGCCCCTGGCTTGAGAGGAGAGATTGGTTACTGTTCACAGAAGGCAACTATGAAAAAAACAGAGGGCAAGGAGTTCCAATTTCTTTTCTCTGTCCTGCCTTCTCTTTTCCCTCTTCTGCCTTCTCTTTCCCCTCTTTGCTAATGGAGATAGGATCTGGCTGTTTAAGATCCATGGGATTGGTCCCCATGTGCCCACCAGAGCCCTCTCTACTGAGATTTTGGTTTCTTAGGATTCTGTAGAGGAGGAGGAACTCCAACTCTCTCCTCCTTTTAAAGGTTCCCTCTCATCTCTGGTCCCTGTCTCCCCATCTCTGCTTCCTTCCATCCCTGATATATATTCAGCTGATCCTCAGGTGGACTGGAAACAATGGCATGAATAATCCCAAACCCCTGGATACTCTGAAAACCACTCCCTCACTCAGTTTGTCAGAAACAACTGTTAAAATAAACCTGTGGGTTCTAACAATATTAACAGGTAATCTGAAGAGGGAGGACAGAGTAAGTGTCAGAGGGGACCTAGTTGAGCATTCAGCAGTGATTACTTTCAACTATCCACTCTATACTTTAGGGGGTGGCAAACTATGGTGGACAAAATCTGGTCTGGCTGCCTGTTTTTTTTTTTTTTTTTTTCCGCTATAGGATATATGCCTTTGCCCAAGGAGGCAGGGCTGTAGGGGGAGTGAGAAATCACCAGCCCCCACTCTCACACAGGGGGAATAGCCACACTGAAATCCTCTGTCCTTTCTCCTCCATTATCCTCTTGGGATTTTGGGCACACATGTACATGCACCCTGCATGTTTTCCAAGCTGCCAGGTCCAGGATGCAAACTGCACAGTCAGCCATGTGGGGTCCAGCCACCCTGACCACCATGCCACCTGGCTGGCCTGGCTGCCTGTTTTCATAAGGCTTTGGAGCAAATGATATTTACATTTTTGAAGGGTTGTTAAAAAACAAATAAAATTTAAAAAGAATATGCAACAGCTTATATGTGGCTGGCAAAGACTAAAATATTTATCATTTAGTCCTTTACTGAAAGAATTCCAGGCAACAAATTCAAGCTACAGAAAACGTGCCTATTTTCTTTTAGAGTATTCTCAGTTTTTTCAAAGACAGTGACTTGAGAGCACACACCACTCCTTGTATGACAATGGCTATTCAACAATTGTCTTTACCCACCATTTCTCACCCTCTGTAAGCACCAGTTATTTACTTTTATGTGAAGAGAGGAATAAATGACACAAGTATGCCAGTACCTGGCACATAGTAGGTGGCAAATAAGAGGTAGCTGCTGGGAACCAGCAGTTAGCGTAATGGCTATGTGGCTGGACTCCCACGTAGTCGACCGCGGTTCGCGTCCTGGACCCGGTGGCTTAAAACTCACGGCGGGCGTGTGTGCGTGCGTGCCCAAGATCCCGAGAGGAGAATGGAGGAGAAGGGATTGCGGTGTGGCCATCCCAGCTGGGGGGTGATTTCTCACTTTCTGTCTCTATTTCTCTCTCTGTCTGTCTGATGAGCACACGCGCCCTACAGTGAAAATCTCTCAAAAAAAAAAAAAAAGAGGTAGCTGTTGTGTGTGAAGCAGGAGTATAGTGCCACATTAGGAGAATGGGTAGTAGCATGGTTAGGGTTTTGGGTTGGACAAGCCAGGATGCCCCATCATTTGCTAGCAACAAGATTTTAGGTCAGCTGTTTATCACTCAATGGTCTCACCTATAAAACAGGCTATGGGAACCAGCAGTTAGCATAATGGCTATGTCGCTGGACTCCCACGTAGTTGACCGCGGTTCATGTCCCGGACCCGGTGGCTTAAAACTCATGCCGGGCGCGTGTGCGTGCGTGCCCAAGATCCCGAGAGGAGAATGGAGGAGAAGGGATTGCGGCGTGACCATCCCCCGTGGGGGGTGATTTCTCGCTTTCTGTCTCTATGTCTCTCTCTGTCTGTCTGGCGAGCGCACGCGCCCTACAGTGAAAATCTCTCCAAAAAAAACAAAACAGGCTAATCATAGTACCTACCTCGTAGGGAGTAAACATTAATAAAACATGTCAGGACCAGCAGTAAGTGTAATTGCTTTGTCGCTGAACTCCCTGGCGAGCGCACGCGCCCTAAGTCCTGGACCTGGTGTTTTAAACTCACACCGGGCGCCTGTGTGTGCGTGCCCAAGATCCCGAGAGGAGAATGGAGGAGAAGGGATTGCGGCGTGACCATCCCCCGTGGGGGGTGATTTCTCGCTTTCTGTCTCTATGTCTCTCTCTGTCTGTCTGGCGAGCACACGCACCCTATAGCAAAACAAAAACCTCTCCCAAAAAAAAAAAACATGTCAAGTGCTTAACGGTTCACCTAATGAATGAATCAGGTGGGATGGGGGCATGAGGGGCCAGGGTTGGGGCTCACCAGGCTCTGGTCCTTACTTGATGGGGTAGGTCTCATCTTTGTGCCTCTGCTTCTCATGTGGAGGTAGAGTCTCCCAGCCAAAGGTCAGGCTCCAGTCAAAATTGCCACGGCTATGGACTCTGCCACTTTGGACTGGCTTGGAGAACTCAAAAGTGTTAAGGTCAATGGTGACGATGTCTGGGCTCACCACCACGGTCTTGTCTTCGGCAATTCGAGCCAGGAGGGGCTCCAGCCATCCGTGGAAGCACTCACCTGCAGGCCAGAGCAGGCAGAAGTCAGGGCTCTACCCACAGCTGAGGCCAAGCCCCATCCCAGGGGATGACCTAGGAGGATGACAGGACTTTCCACCCACTTCTTGGTTATAGGGGAGAAGCTCAAAAAAGCGCCACAGCTGTAGGAAGCATAGTGAGGTCTCTGGTAGCCCTTCTACCTGCCCCAACAAAGGTGGAGGCAGCTTGGAAGGGAGAATGGTGGCCTCAGGGAAGTAACATAGTCAATTCAGATGATCCGGAAGTACAGAGAAGACCCTTGATGGGTAGCTTCAGGATCTCCAGCCTTTTCTACTGAGTCAGCCTTCCTACCCCAAGAATGGATTTCAGAAGGGGGTGGTCCCAGTCCCGAGGGTATTTGCATCTTAAACTTTAGCTACAGTTGCAGAAAAAGAATCTCTTTGAGGATCGAAACCCTTTGAGGTTTTCATTTAAGTTTTACATATATAATCTCAAAGTGCATATATAGACCCTCAAAGTGGTAATTTTGTTAGAGGAGGAAGGCTGGTATCCTCATTTTCATTTTACAAATCAGGAAACTGAGGATCAGTTAGTGGCAGAGTCAGTAAACCAGGATTTGACTCCAAATCTAGAGCTTACAATGTTCTTGGGAAACTATTTATTTATTTATTTATTTATTTTGTCTCCTGACAATGGTGGGAAAATGTTTTGCTTTTAGACTATCCCCCTGTAGCTCTTAAGGAAAGCTCCACACAACTAGTTCTCAGTGTAACGGGAGGCCTCTCGCAGGGGCTGAGCTCAGAACAAGGTACAGATAAGGGAGGAAGGGAGAAGATGGATGTTTGGGGCTCCAGAGTACACGCTCAGTGGTTTGGGCGTCACCAGTTGTTGTAGGTTTATTTGTGCCTCCTGATAAAACCTTCTTGGGGCTAGGGTGAGAAGCTAGAGGGGGTCTCAAGCTTCCTTCACTCCTGGAACAGCAGAACAGGAAGGGGCCTTGATAAGTGCTGTGGTCCTAGCTATACCAGGGAGGGAGGCCTCCTGGGTAGTAGACAGGTACTTTTACTCACAGTGGGCATCCAAGAATGTGAGCACCTCTGCCTGTGCCACTTTGGCCCCCAACAGCCGGGCAGTGATAAGCCCCTTCCGCTCCACCTGCCGCACCACCTTCACCACCTGCAGCTCCTTCACGTACTGTTCCAGCTTGTCCTTCAAGTAATCTGTAAGGGACAGTGTCACTGTTGCCAGCTCACCACTTTGTTGCAAACCTAATCCCTGTGGGCACCAAGCCCAGGTGATCTTAAGCCTCCAGCAGGCCTCGGTTTTAACCCTTCCAATTCTAATGCGTAAGTAATTCCTCAGAAGCCCTAAGTGGGCAAAGGACTGAAGAGGAAGGTGGGGAGAGAAAGGAGGGAGCCCTGCCTATGGTCAGCCCACCATGCCAGTACACCAGCTCTGTGCTGCTGGTTCCTATGCCTAGTCACCTTCTCTAACGTTTGAGAGAACACCCCAGAGTTGTTTCTTTGGTCTCTAATCAAGTACAAACTTCTGACAAAGGCTCTCGAATGTCTCTCACAGACCCTCCACTGTCTCGGTTAGGGCCTTGCAGAGCTGCAATCCTGGCCTCCTCTCCTCTCATCCCTGCTGCTTGCTGCAGCCATCTCAGTGTCTGTGATACCCTGTCTCCCAGGCTCTTCAAATTTTGACAGACAGAGCATACACAAATGTTGTTTTCTTGATTACAGGATCAGCCACAAGAAATCTTATTCTATTATAAATTCTCTTTATTATCCCTTCAAATAGGAAATTAATTAAGATGACAACACACCAAGAAACTTTTAAATTATATTTTAAAAAGAAAAAGAAAACATTCCTTGGCCCAGCTACAGTGGTGCAGGTGCTAGAGAGTTGCTGTGTGATACTGGAGCTACATGGGAGGTCCCAGGTTAGGATCCTGGGGGCCTTAAACATTCTGTACATGTCTGTAATTCTGGCTGGCTGGAAGGCTAGGGGGATCTTGGTGGGATGAGACCCTGTCAAGGTTTCCTCTTTTTCTCTCATGAAAGAGACTTTTTAAAAAAATCATCGAGTGCCCAGAAATTAGATTACAGTGATGAGCTTGGCCAGCATGATCACTGTCTTAAGGAATGCACTGTCCAAGGAGCAAGGCCAACCAGGGATGGGCGATTACAGTGCAGTGATCTGCCAGAGGTAGTGCAGACTAGGGGGCTCATAGAGGGCCAACCACCTTGACTTTTTTTTTTTTTTGTAGGACAGTATGTATGCTCACCAGAGAGAAACAGACAGTGAAGGAGGGGGAGAAAGCACCTCCAGTGGGGCATGGTGATGTCGCAATTCCTTCTCCTCCAGTTCTCCACCCTGTTGGAACTTTGAGCACATACCCATATGCACCAAGAGTGTTTTCTAAGCCACCAGAGCTGAGACTTGAACTGCATGGTTGGCCATGTGGGATCTAGCTTCCCCAACTAGGCCATGGGGCTAGGCCATGGGGGCAGGCCCCAACCATCCTGAATTTGAGGAGATGGGAAAGATGGGTATTTGCTGAGTTCTCCAGCTCTTTCTGAGGGGTGCTTAGTTCATGACCCTGTTACTCAGTCTGAAATCATCAGATCATTAAAAATAGCTCTATTCTGGGTTAGCAGGTGGCATGGTGGTTAAGGCACTGGATTCCACATAGCCAACTCAGTGGTTTGAGTCCCAGACCCAGTGGCTTGAAAAACATACCAGGAGTGTGTGCGTGTGTACCCAAAATCCCAAGAGGAGAATGGAAGAAAAGGAACTGTGGCGTGGCCATCACCTCTAGGGGTAGATTTCTCACTTTACCTCTCTGTTTCTCTGTCTCTCTTCTCTATCTCTCTGTCTTGCAGTCTCTTACCTGCAAGTGCATGTGCCCTATGGCAAAACAAAACAAAACAAAAACTTAAAAAAGCTCTATTCTTTTTTTTTTTTTTTTTGAGAGGTTTTCGGTATAGAACATGTGTGCTTACCAGAAAGACAGAGAGAGACAGAGAAACAGAAAATGAGAAATCATCCCCCCCAGGGGGATGGCAACACCACAATCCCTTCTCCTCCATTCTCCTCTCAGGATCTCGGGCATGCACACACATGCACCAGGCATGAGTTTAAGCCACCGGGTCCAGGACTCGAACCGCGGTCAACTACATGGGAGTCCAGTGACATAGTCATTACATCAACTGCTAGTCCCAAACAAACTCTATTCTAAAGCAGTCCCTCTTGGGGCTAACAAGTAGTGTGGTGGTTAAAGTGCTGAACTTCTACATGCAGCTGACTGCAGTTTGAATCTTGGACAGGAGGCTTGCTTTCTCTATCTCTGTGTCTCTCTGTCTCTGTTCCTCTTGGGTAAGTGCACATGCCCTATGGCAAATTAAAAAAAAATACAATAAAATTAAATGAATAATTATTTAAAGCAGTCCTTCTTAAGACATATTCTAAATCATACTTAGGTTTTATTAACTGCCATTTTGGTTTATTGGTGTCACTGTTCTGTTCTGACTGCAGATTGGACATGCTTATAGTTTCAGAGGTAGATAGCAGAATCTGAAATGCGGGTATGTTCTTTTCCTTTTGGACTGTGGCAGTAGCACCATACTCAGGCCGTGCTCTGAACACAGTGCTTTATAGGTCCTGAGGTCAATCAATGTAGGAATTGCAATTCATCTCATTCACATACGTACACACACAAACACACACAATACCTGAACACTTGAGCACCTACTCTATGTCAGTCTCTGAAAGAGGTGCTTTTACACTGACTTTTCTATAAAGGTTAACAACTCTGAATCAGGGAGTCTTATCCCCAGGGTTTCTAGATGGGAAGACTAAGGTTCTAAGTGATGAGCCAGGGTCACAGAAAGTACAAAGAGCAGTAGCAAGATCCCAGCTAATCTGAGGATTTCTCACTTACCTTCACTAGGAGTGGCAAGGTCACCTAGCAAGGATTTAATGTGCATGATTTTCTGGTGGCCTCTGCAGCCTGCCTCAACCATTCAAAGCCTTGCCACTTTGCCAGGTGTGAGATCCCAGGAGGGAGAGGGAGAGAAGAAGCTTGGTCAAGCTGTTCTTTGGTCATTGTCCAGGAGGGTATAGCCCTAGGGGAAGGAAACTTTATAATGTGGAACTTCACTTCTTCTCTTTTTTTTTGGGGGGGGGCATAGTTGAGAAGGTAGTTGCATCTTACTTTAGGAATGAGACCTCATTTCTGGGGTTCAAGACATCATGAGTCAAAATTAGCTTCATGGCAGTTTCAGCCAACATTCAGTCTACAGCCATCTGCTAATTTACCACCCAGATGCCAGACACTCTGCTGCACAGGGAGGAGGCTGGCTAGGACCCGCCACCAAAGAGCTCTTAGACTCACAGCCCAACTACAGCCCCAAGTGGTGACTCTGACAGGAAGAGGGGAGGAACCTCAACCAGAATCTTTACCTTCTCTTTGTAGCTGATGTTTCATCTGAGAACAAGCTTAACTTTTGCTCACAGGAAGCACATGGTAGTGGAGATAACTCAGGGACAAAACATCATAGGAAGTGGGTTTTGTGGTAAGAGACTGTGAAGTGCTGAACTGTGAACTTCAGGGGGGCCTGAGCTCTATGAAGCCCTTCTCCCATACCATTCTTCCAGTCTCAGGGGGTGAGGTTAGACTTGAGGATTCTAAGACTGAGAGGCTCCAAGTTCCTGTCCTCATCCTGCCTCTAAGAAATGCCCTGCCTGAGAGTCTTCCACCTGTCCCACCCCAGGACCCACTAGACATAAGACTCCACTAAGGATATCAGAGCTGAGCACAACACACAGACGAGCCCTTCATATTCTCTCATGTCTCCCCAACAACAATCTTCTAATTCAGATTCAACATCCTGAGCTTCCTCATTACTCCCTAGCAGCTAAAAGAGCTCCCACATTATTATCCCATCATCCTGCATTCTTTTCTTCCTTTTCCTCTAACTTAATTTCTTGAGGTTACTTATTTTCTGTCTTTCTAAAAGAGCAACTCCAAGAACACAGAAAGCTTGTCCCATGTGTTCACTGTTGTATCCTTGAATCTGACACAGAGCTCACACTCAAGAAGTAACTGACAAATACTTATTAAGCAAGTTGATGAACTCCTGCCCTCATTTACTCTTCTCTTGTAGACTGTACTCCTCTCTTGGCGCCTGAAAAAAAAATCTAGGGAGACCAGCAGTTGGCATAATGGCTATGTTGTTGGACTCACATGTAGTTGACCACAGTTTGGGTCCCAGACCTGCGGCTTAAACTCACGCTGGGCACGTGTGCATCTGTGTCCAAGATCTTGAGAGGAGAATGGAGAAGGGATTGCGGCATGGCCATCCCCCTAGGTAGTGATTTCTTGTTTTCTGTCTCTCTGTCTCTTTCCGTCTTTCTGGAGAGTACATGTGCCCTGTAGACAAAACCCCCCCCCCCCAAAAAAAAAAGGGGAAAAAAAAAACCTTTTTTATTTAAGAGAGATTTTTGCCATAGGGTTTGTGCACTTACTGGAGAGATAGAAAAAGACAGAAAGACAGAAATTGAGAAATTATTCCCCGGGGGGATGGCCACACCACAATCCCTTCTCCTCTATTCTCTTCTCAGGATTTTGGGCAGGCATGCACACACACCTGGCGTGAGTTTTAAGCTGCCGGGTCAGGGACTTGAACTGCAGTTGACTACATGTGAGTCCAGTGACATAACCATTATGCCATCTGCTGAAAAACTTTTCTTACAGGGGTAACTTTCCCCCAATTTTTCTTTTGTTTGCTTTCATTCTACTTTCCTATTTATCTTTTTCTATCTTATTATAAATCTAAATGCAACTGGGAAATTTTTTTTTATTAATTCCTTTGTAAGAATAAAAGGAGAAACAAACATCCACAACACCCTTTGGGGGTATTCTACAATCCATTTGCCAGGTAGAACATTTGGATATGGACTATAGTTTAAGACCTAAATCAAGACTCATCAGGCACACTCATGTCCATGATTCAAGCTGGCTGAGGCCAGGGGTGGATCATGACATTAAGACTATGTTGGAGTGCTATGTTTCTGTTTCTGTCTCTCTCACTCATGGAATAAATTTTAAAAAGAACTTTGAAAATATATTCATTTGGGTCAGCCTGTGGTGTGGTGGTTAAGATGGCTGGGTCCCACATGGCCCACTGCACCCGAGTTAGAATCTTGGACTTGG